TGGTGTTGGGCTTCTCGGTAGCTCTGTCCCCCTAAATCTTAGCTGTAGAAGTGGACAGACCGAGTTGGCGGAGGCTCGTGTCCTTACTGTGCACCCACTGTGTGGCCGTGAGCAAGCCACAGGGCTTCTCTGTGTCCAGCTGCCATAGGTCTGGAATGCCAAAGCACTAGGGGGTTGAGGGCATAGGGGAGCTGCCCCCCGGGGTCCTGACCAGTCCTTCTACCACCCATAGCACGTGGACATTCAGAACTTCTCCTCGAGCTGGAGTGATGGGATGGCCTTCTGCGCCCTGGTGCACAACTTCTTCCCTGAGGCCTTTGACTATGGGCAGCTTAGCCCTCAAAACCGGCGCCAGAACTTCGAGGTGGCCTTCTCGTCTGCTGAGTAAGTGTGGGCCCCAGCCCTGTTGATGTCGCTGGGCATCTGGGGCTAGGCATTGGGGCCAGGCCCTGTTGTCCTGAGACCCGCTGGAGCCAGCCAGCCACACTGTCAGTCAGCAGCTGAGATCCCCCTTCCCCAGAGAGTCCCCGTCCTTCTCCACCCCTGCCCACCCGATGCTGAGCGTGCCAGGTGCCCGCCGGAACGAAGGAGCCGCAGGCCCGCCCACCAACCTGGGCCAAGGCCCACCAGGTGGCCCTGTCCATATCCCCTCCATCTTCCCTCTGCCCCCTCTCCCTCTCTCTCTCCCTTTCTCTGTCCTGCTCTCCTCCCACTATCACCAGAGCTTCCTGCTCCCACGGGATCCCGGCTGGAGATTCCAAAAGGAGGCTCCTGGCCCGGGCACCGTGCCCGCCCAGCCTATATAGGTGCTGCCAGAGGCTTATATAGGACATCAGCAAGCCCTCCACTTTGGAATCATTGCCCCATCTGCTCACCTCACCCTCAGCACCCTCCTCCATCTGTCTTTCCTCTCCCCTCCTCTTTCTGGTTCCCCGAGATTTCTTCCTCCTCCTCCCCCCACCTCCTCTCACGCCTCCCTCACCCCCCCTCCCTGGGGCACAGCCCTCCTCTCCAACCTTGGCGCCAACGCCATTGCCCCCCACCCCGCATTCCCGCTTGCCCCAAGAGTTCTCTGCACCTGTGACTGGTTTGGCCCCCACCCCTGTCTGCATTGCACACCATTAGTGATGGGTAGCGAACAGCACGTCCACAGTGGGGAGGGGGCATGCAGGGGGCTGGCAGATCGCAGCACTGGGAACGTAACTGAACTCATGTCTCTGTGTGTGTACGTGTGTGTCTCTCTTCTCCTCCCCTCTCTCTTCTCTGCCTCTTCCCTTTCTTACCCGCCTGGGCCCTGGCCCCCTGCCCCCCTGCCCCTTCCCGGCCCCCTACCCTCCCCAGGACCCATGCGGACTGCCCGCAGCTCCTGGATACAGAGGACATGGTGCGGCTTCGAGAGCCTGACTGGAAGTGCGTGTACACGTACATCCAGGAGTTCTACCGCTGTCTGGTCCAGAAGGGGCTGGTAAAAACCAAAAAGTCCTAACCCCTGCTTGGGGCCCCACGGTGAGAAACGCCGCCTCTCCCACCTGCCCCGCTTCACCGGAATCTGCTCAGCAGGGCACACAGAGAGGGGCCCAGGAGGTGGGTGGGGGAAGCAGGGGAACCCTTAGAAAAGCCACAGGAACAAGACACGGCCCTGTGTCCTGGTGGTTCAGGGCCTAGCAGGTGGAACCATTCTCAGTGGGCAGTGCTGACTCAGGTGAGCAGGATTGGGATGGGGGAAGCCCGGGGGAGGCACCTGACCCAGGCTGCAGGTCTGGGACTATCTGAAATAAATGCAGACTAAGCTGGGAGTTGAACAAGTTCAGGCTAAAGGAGGGAGAGGGAGTTCCAGGCAAAGGGATCAGCCTATGCACAGGGCCAGGATGAGAGAGGTGGGGAGCGTGGCACACCCAGGAAGGGAAGGAACTTGAGTCTGGGTGTGAGGGAGGAAGGGGCCGCAGGCAGGAGTTTGAACTTCCTCCTGAGGACAGCAGGAGTCATAAAATGTTTCCAAACAGAGGAGGGATGGATGTGGTCAGGTTAGCATTCCAGAACAATCGTTGGATGAGGCCTGCATGAGAGATGGGATGCACTAGATGGCTGGAACAAGCTTAAGAAGTAGAGGGACAGGCTTCCTGATACGTCTGGTTTGGGGAGGGAGGAGGAGAGTCAGGAAGGCTCCCAGGTTTCCAGTTTGGGGACTGGAGAGTTGGTGGTGCCATACTTTAAAGTGAGGAGATCAGGAGAGGGGCCAGTTCAACACGAAGATGTTTCTGGTTGGGGATTCCAGATCCCCAAGCCAGTTGTGGCATTTCCTCTCTGGTCACCTCAGCTCAGGGCCACAGTAGAGAATTCACATCCTGAACTAACAGCCCCATTACAGACAAGAGGCTCAGAGAGGGCGAGAGGTAGGCTCAGGGTTTCCCAGGGGTGGGTGGGGGGGTAGGTCAGAGCTGAGGCCTGAAACTGGGACTCCAGACTCCCCACTTAGTGGCTCTTTTCTTGCCCATCATTGTTTTCCCACCCATGTTGCAGAGAGGATTAAAAATAGAGGTCCAGAGGGAGCGAGGGGATTGCCCAAAGTAGTGTGAGTCACACAGCTAGCTCTGGGTGCACTCGGATGCCCCTCAGGCCTCGCACCCTTGCAGGGGGCAGCCCACATGTGCACACATATATTCAGAGGAGCAGTGCAGGTGAGGGAAGGATGGGCTTGGTGCTGTCTCCAGGTCATATATGGACTTTGGAGCTGCCGGCCAGCAGGCTGGCCTGGAGGGAGAGGGGCCCAGCTGAGCCCTGATCCAGTTGGAAACTGTGACTCAGCCATGTTGTTCAAGTTGCCTGGTGTTTGGCCTGTCACTGGGGCAGCCCGAGTCCTGAGCCCTGAGCCCTGAGCCCCAGGGTAAACAATGTCTTTATAAGGTCTCCAGGGAAGGCACCAGGGGTGGGAGGGAGCTCTAGGTTGGGGAGGGAGGCCGGGATCCCCGGGAAGATAGCCACAGATAGAAGCTTCAGAGAGAGGCTGCCTCTGTACCATGCTACAGCTGGGAAACAAGCCCAGTATGGGGTAGGATGACCCCAAGGGCACATAGCGCATCAGCAGCAGAGCCAGGAACCTCTGTGTGCTTCCAAGGTCTCAAATGAGATAGGGAATGACTGGGATATAAAGGGGGGGAAACTGAGTCACAGAACAGGGCCTTATCTAGCATCCACAGCTGGCCGAGGGTAGAAGAACCTGGACTGAAACAGAGGTTTTTTGCTTCCCAGCCTCCGTCCTGGAGGGAGTCCAGGTGAGCTGGGAGTAGGCCCAGCCCTACCACAGTCCCAGGTTTGACCATGAAGGCCCAAGACAGGAGGTGGTCTTGGGCTCTCAGGTGTCTTGGGAATAAGAGTGATTCTTGCCTGTATGCCTTCCCTGCCAAAGGAAACTCGTTCGACATTGACGGAGCATTTACTAAGTGCCAGGCATGGCAGATGGGAGAGAGCAAACAGGGAGCCAGGCAGAGAGGTCTTGCTCTGGGAGAGGAGGGGAAAAGGAACCAGAGAGCACACGCCAGCTTTAGAGCTCTGGGGCTGTCAGTTGCTTAGTTGCAACTCACTGCAGAGTGGGGAAAGGGCTCCTGCAGTGGGGAAGAGGGGGATCCAGGCTGGTGCCAGCACCCAGGACTGGGGGCCTGGGTCCCATGAGGCCCAGCTCTGCACATACTAAACTATGGGGCTTGAAACAGCGCCTCTGCTCTGTGACTCAGTTTCCCCGTAAAGTGCAAGGAGTTTATCTGTAAAGTGCAGCTAGCACTCTGAAGGATGGTCAGAGAGGTGGTCCCATCCCTCAACACAGTATAGATGGTCTAGCTGGTATTGGCTGGGATCTTCATCTGCCTTCCCTGCCCTACTCAAGGCAGGTGATAGGGTTAATGAACCGCCCTACCCCCCGCCCACACACACACTCCCTGGCATCTCTCTCCAGCAGCAAAGCTGTGTGTCCCTTGTCCCTTCCACTTCCCCAAGGGGGGGAGTGCACGGGTGTTCCTGGGACTCTGGGCAGGAAGTACCAGGTCAGGCAGCTAGCAGATAATCATGGGGGACCAGAGGGTCACTGGGGGCCATGGAGAAATATTTACCAATGGTGAAGCCCCTCGGGCTGCAACAGCCCAGCTGAGAGGCCTGTACCAACCAGAGTATGACAGCGAGAGTGAGCAGAAGGCGGCCCTCCAGGGAGAACGTGGGCGGGATCTGGAGCCAGGCCCTCCCCAGGGCTGGGGGAAACGCAGACCCAGGACCTCCCTGATTGCGATGGGCGCTCTTCTCCCCCCATCTCCATCTCCACCGGCCTAGCTCTGCTCCCCGACAGGGGTGCCTCTGGGCTTGGGTGAGTGCGGCCAGGGGCTTCCTGCCTTCCTAGAAGGCTTTTCCCCCAATCGATGAGGAGTCTGGAGTTTATAAAAGACCCGCAGGCTATGGCAATGAAAAGACCTTGGGGTAGAGGGCAGCCGCAAGAGGCGAGGCCAGCGCTGACAACCACCCTCGTGCCCCCTCCCCGCAGGATGCTAGTGGACTGCGTGCCCCTGGTGGAGGTGGAGGACATGATGATCATGGGCAAGAAGCCCGACCCCAAGTGCGTCTTCACCTATGTGCAGTCGCTCTACAACCACCTGCGGCGCCACGAGCTGCGCCTGCGCGGCAAGAATGTCTAGCCTCCCCGCCCGCACGGCCCGCCCGCGGCAAGCTGCCACCCCCACCTTCCGGGCACCGTCCCTCCTTGTGCGCCTGCCCACCGCCGCCCTGTCTGTCGCGACACCCTCCCCCGCACACGCAGCGTTTTGATAAATTATTGGTTTTCAATGATCCTGACTCCTTTCTGCCTCTCGGGGGTGGGAGGATTTGAATAAAAGGCAGCTCGCAGTGTCTCCAACTCCAGCAGCCAGGCAATTGGCGATGCGAGGTCCCCCGGGGGGATTTGGGAGACTCCCATTCCGACCGCTCACCCCACTGGCCCGCAGCAAGGAAGGAGTCGAGCCTCAGTTAAGGCAGAAGGGATTTAGTGGAGCTGGGGATGGAAGAAAGCGGGTTGGGAGGAACCTCCCCAATCCCATTCCTGCAGGCTCGGGGACGGGCGTCGGCCCTCAGCAAGGGAGCTACTCCCGGGATGCTGAGCGCTTCATTCTGTCTCCGGGACTCGGGCAGGGTGGTCCTAGCTCCGCCGCGTCCCCGGACCTACAGGTCGGCGCGGTCCGAAGCTCCCTCGGGGGACCTGGCGGGCGCCCACAGGTACTCCGGGGGCACTTGCGCGTCGGGCGCCGCCTTGCGGTAGAAGCCGAGCTCCTGCACCAGCGCGTTGATCTCTTCGCGGGTCATTTCGCTGAGCGGGATGCGCTGAAGCGGAGGAGGGGCGGGGTCAGCTCGGGCCCCGCCTCTCGTCCCGCCCCCAACCCCGCCCCCGTCCACCACCCTCGGCCTCACCTCCAGTTCTTCATAGCGGCGGCCCAGCAGCACGAGCTCCGGGTCGGCCCCAGGGAGGTGTTTCATCACCAGGTTGTGGCTGGAGGCGGTGTTAAGGTGGGTAGCGCTGTGCTGATGCGGACAGTACTGCCTCGTTTGCTGGGCGCTCACTCTGCACCCGGGAGGGGCCGGGATCTCCATTTACACGTGAGAAAATTAGGGTTCAAAGACGTAAAGGGCCCTCCTCTCTGTGGCAGTCATCCCTAGTCAATCCCTCTTGCCGACCCGGCATGGAGACCACCTCAGAGTCCCCTGGGCAGTCATTACCAATCAATTCCACTTGTCAGTCGAAAACCATTTGCCATCCCTGTCTGTGCAGTTGAACGGAAGGAGATCCCTCCTGGTGCCCTCCCATTTCCCCTTCCTCAGAACAGGAGAAGGATACTAGAATGGAATGTCCTGGGTGACGAAAGCCTTCACCTGGGGAGGAACCAGAGCGTTAGAGATCATGGTCCCAGCTCCCTCCCACCCCCAGATACAGACGGGACACTGACGCCCACTGACGTCCTACAGCAAGTCGGGTGCAGGCTCCTGACTGCCAGCCCAGGGATCCTCCCCATGCCCTAATAATTGGGACCACGTTGCCCACTCCCCAAGAGGCTCAGGGGGGACACAGCTGGGGACCCATTCCTTCAAACTCACCTCCTTCAGGCGGTTTAGCTGTCATCCCCCACAGGTCTGGAGGGGGACAAAATGGGATAGGTCAGGAGTCCTTCACATCTACCCCAACCACACCCTCAAAGCCATTTCATCCTCATCCCTGAATTGGGTCAGACTGTGAGTTGTCCCTGAACAGCAATTCCCAAGGTGTGTAGGAGATGGAAGTCCCTTGTGGGCAGAAGGGGGAACTCTGTATCGGTGGGGAAACTCTGGCCTAGAGACACCAGGGGAAAGGAGTAAGGCCAGAGACTTACAGCATGCTTTCCTGCCTTGGGGCTCTTGCCTGAATATCCTAGTGACTTTTGACTCACTCCCAATGCCCAGGAGAAATGATCCCCCTGCTCCTCTCAGGCAGTAGAGACCTGGGCCTGGCCTTTGACCCCTGAAATCTCAGGGGTCAAATGGAGGCAGACCAGAAGGAAACAGCTCAGAACTGCCCTGGGGGCCCCCATTAGAGACACCTGCCATCTGGTCCCTACCCTATTGCAGGCAGAGCTGGCCCTGCCTGCCACCTGCGGCCCAGCCCCACAGACCATCTGGTTGCTTCCCTGAAATGGCAGGATGGGAGGGCACCTCCCTGCATTCCCGAGAGGAAGCCACCTCCCAGCAGGAGCCCAGACCCTAGGATCACCCATTCTAGGTCTCTTTCATCCTATCCCCTTTTGTTAGACAGAAATACTAAGGCTCAGGTCCTGTTGTGGTGGCTCATGTCAGTAATCCTGGCATTCTGGGAGACTGAGGTGGGAGGATCGCTTGAAGTCAGGAGTTCAGAAAACCAAGGCTCAGAGAGGGGCTGTGATGGTCAAAATCATGGAGCGAGCCAGGGACTCCAGAATAGAATTTCCTGGCAGTGAGAGAGGATGGGGAACCCCTACCAAGTAGATGTTGATAACCGAGTTACCAACTTGGTTCTCTTTCCGAGTTGGCCCCCTTCTCTGGCTCCTGCATGATGAGGGGAGACACCCAGAAAGTCTTCCTCTCCCCCAGGAGAAGGAAGAGAGACTCTCTGGAGCTCCAAGCCCTAGAACTGGGGTGGGAGAGGAATTCCAGGAAAACACGGAGTGATTCGGGTAGGGAAGTTGGGCTCCAACGGGCAGGGTTGGGAGAGTCATAGGCCAGGACAAGAGACAGGAGACTAGGCCAATGTGTCTGGGGAACCGCTGTCATGCTGGGAGCTGGGGAAGGGTCTGGAGTTCCAGGCCGCAAGGTCGGGTGTCTCAGGCTTCCACGGTGGGTGCTGGAGCAATCGGAGGCTGGGGTGTGGGAAGGATGATTCTGGTGCCAGAGGAAAGGGGGGAGATCGGGGTCGGGGTGGCCCTGAGGCCGGAGCAGGCGGTGGTCCCACGGCTATGAGGCCACCGCGCTGGAGGCCGGCGCGCTTACCTCTACCCGAGCCCGGGCCAAGCCTTGCAGACGGTTCCAGTCCGGCCGGTAAGTGGTGGCGGCTGTGGCCGAGGCCACAAGCGCCGCGAGGAGCAGCAGCAGCGGCGGCGGAGGCAACAGGACGCTCATCAGACCAGCCGAAGAAGATGCGCAAGCGGGAGGAGAACCTCCGGGTCGCTGCGCCACGTCTGGGCCCGCACGCTGGCCCCGCCCCCGCCAGAGGCCCAGCCCTGCCAGAGGCCACGCCCAAGCGCGGTCTCCGCCCCGGACTCGCGTGGTTGCCTCCCGTTAGCTCCGGGCCGGGTCCCAGCTCCTCTCGGGCGCCCGGGCCTTCACTGCCCCAGACCAGGGAGGGCCCACGCTCCTTCCGCCGATCGAGAGTGTGAACACTCCCGCAGGATGCGGCCGGACAGCGCCACCTGTCGCCGGCAGGGGGTGCAGGCAGGACGCTGACGGACACGGGAGTTTCTGGGCCAGACCCTCCACTTTTAAGATAGGGAAGGAGAGACGGGGGACTCATGGTTTGTGGCTTTTTATTTCTTTGGACGAAATTCCAATCAAAGTTTCGATTCTCCATAACGCACACTGTGGTGATGCAATATGACCTGCCCCGTGGGGGGTGGCAGGACACAGGGGTTCGTGCACGTAAGGCTCATTAGAACAGTACCTGGTGCCGTGTTAGCTTGCACTCTCCCTTCCTTCCTTACCTCGCAAAGGTTTTGTGAACTCCGTTTTGCAGGTTAGGAAACAGGCTCAGAAAGGTGAAATGATTAAGCTGTGCCTCTGGGATTTGAACCCAAGGTGTACCTGTGCTCATCTCACCACAGCAGAGATAACCGTCTCAGGATGCCACGCCCCCTCTTCGTGAGCCCTGGGCAGACGCTGCAAATCCGTCACTACGCTCTTTCCCGCTGAATCTGGACACTCCTTCTCAACATCGAGCTGAGACTGCAGTATGACTGTCGTGGCTCCTAGGAATTTTTGCCTTCCTGGGCCCCTTCCTCCATTTAAAATATATGTATTAAAAATTAGGCCGGGGCCGGGCGTGGTGGCTCACGCCTGTAATCCTAGCTCTCTGGGAGGCCGAGGCGGGCGGATTGTTTGAGCTCAGGAGTTCGAGACCAGCCTGAGCAAGAGTGAGACCCCGTCTCTACTAAAAATAGAAAGAAATTAATTGGACAACTAAAAATATATAGAAAAAACTAGCCGGGCATGGTGGCGCATGCCTGTAGTCCCAGCTACTCGGGAGGCTGAGGCAGGAGGATTGCTTGAGCCCAGGAGTTTGAGGTTGCTGTGAGCTAAGATGACGCCACGGCGCTCTAGCCCAGGCAACACAGTGAGACCCTGTCTCAAAAAAAAAAAAAAAAAAAAATAGGGCGGGGGCAGTGGCTCACGCCTGTAATCCTAGCACTTTGGGAGGCCGAGGTGGGAGGATTGCTTGAGGTCAGGAGTTCAAGACCAGCCTGAGCAAAAGCAAGACCACATCTCTACTAAAAATAAAAAAAATTAGCAAGGCGTCATGACGCACTTGTAGTCCCAGCTACCCAGGAGGCAGAAGGATAGCTTGAACCCAGGAGTTTGAGTTTGCAGTGAGCTATGACGATGCCATTGCACTCTAGCCAGAGTGACACAGCGAGACCCTGTCTCAAAAAAAAAAAAAAGATTTTGCAACTGCTTTCGTAAAAAGGTGAATATAACTCAGGCTGGGTTCATTATCATATTATTATTATATGTTTTCTTCCAATTTTAAAAGATATTAAGATTAAAACATTTTCATGGACTGCTAAAATTATCACGAGCCCTAGACACAGAACCTACTGTGCCTAATGGAGAAATCAGGTCTGCATTGAGTCCTTTGCTTGCAGCCTGCTACCTCCCCTTCACTTCTTGATTATAAAGATATAAAATAACAGGCCAGGCCAAGATGGGGGGATTGCTTGAGCTCAGGAGTTCGAGACCAGCCTGAACAAGAGTGAGACCCCAGCTCTACTAAAAAAAAAAAAAAAAAAAGAAAGAAAGAAAAATTAGCTGGGTGACTAAAAATAGAAAAAAAAAATCCCCTACTGTGGCAGGAGGGTAGCTTGAGCCCAGGAGTTTGAGGTTGCAGTGAGCTAGGCT